ACACACACACACACACACACACACACACACACACACACACACACACACACACACACACACACACACAAACCACACAAGCACGAAGGTTATATAACTTCTGATGTCATCTCCAGAGGATCAGAAGAGCTTCAGTGGAACATTTCTGCAGGAATTTGTGTGTTTATAGTTAATTTGTCYGATGTTCAGTCATTTTTCCAATAGTTCAGTTTGAAATCTTCACCGATTTTTAAACTTCAGTAAAAAGAAAGCTCACTGTAACAAGTTAAAGGCCTAGCACAACAATCCTCTCATGCTGAGGACTGACAGAGTTGCAGCTGTTTTAATCAGACTTTGGTGAGTGATGTTCCACGTGACCTCGTGGGATATTGAGATTTCATGAGATGTGTTAAGTTTCAAAGATAATGCTGTGGATGACTCCCAGCTACTACTACACCAAACTTTATCTYAACATCTTCACAACCAACAGTTACAGCCATTGTTGTTGGCCAACGTCGATCAGCTGTGGTGGTCATCTTCAATTTTTCCACATTTCCTTAAAAACCTGATGTATGGATGAGTTCTCCAGAGGCCAATAAACCAAGTTGTACGGAGCAGGAGCATGGRTGCAAAGAGCTCATCAACAAGTCCATGAAGTAGATATAAACTCCCAGTGTGCTCCTCAGCTTTGAACACCTAATGTTGCAGTAAATCGTTGGTGTAGTTCTCATCTGTTCGGAGAAGATTTAATGCTAAAAGAGAAACTGAACCAAGCCGGGCTGGAAGGACACGCAAAGGCTATTTGACTTTACGAATAGCAATTCGTCACCCCTGTTTGAATCTACATGAGGCCTTTTAACATGAAAAAAAAAAAARTCTGGTCTGAGTCCTGAGCGTTCCCAGTTCATCTGGCTCGGCGCTTTTTTTTCCACCTTGGGATCCATCCAGTGGCTCTGCTGCTTCCAGGAAAACTAAATCAGACCCCAAAAATACTGTCCATGACAGGCTGGACCACTGCAGGGGGATGGAGTGTGACGAAGAAAAATAAGGGGGAAACTAGAAAAGAATCAATCACTTTTGTCTTTTAAAAAAGTTTATTATAAATTAACAAATAATAAAAAATAAAAAAGGACTAAAACTTGCAGTTATGCAGTCATTATCAACCTTGTCTTGGTATTTGGCAAGTAAAACATTAATGATGTGTGCTGAGTGGAAAAATGCTTAACATGGATGGATTTTCCTTCTGTATCAAAAATTTATAACAGAAACAGTACAGATGATGAAAAATACAGTACAAACTTCAGCCTCATCATAAAGTAGGGCCCAGGGTGCATTACAGAATTATATTTTTGGACACAAATACACATGATCTTTTGATTAGTTTAGAAACAAAATACTTGTAATTTACCAAAACCCCAGGTTCAGAAAAAATCCAAGTGTATCAAAAAACAGAAACTTTTAAAGCTGATCAGAACTGAAGCAACAGCGAATAAGATTTATTTACTTTTACTGCCTGAAACACTGGATCTGTAGCAGTGTTTTGATTTGACCATACAGGTTTCTACTCTTTTATGCCCAGCCTTTGAGGAAAAAAGCATTATTATTATTATTATTATTGTTATTATTTTAATAATTATATCTTTAATTTACCCAGATAAAAGTCTCCTTAATGTCAAAGTCTATTTTTAACAGACCTAACCAAGAAGGCAAAAGAGAAGAAGTCATTAACTCTGTTGACAATAAACCAAGACAAGAAGTGATTTATAAAGTTTCCTGTCAGGATTTTAAAAGTTTCTTCWGGGCACAATGATTGTTTTTTTTAAGTAGCTTAACAAGGTGACCTGGTAAACTTTACAAAATGACCTCAAACTGTCTGAAATGAGATCTTTTTTATGTGGCATCAAGCTGATTTCATGAGTGTTACGTGACTTTTTAACTACTAGTCAGAGCTCGCAAAAAGGTCGACTCAAGGTCTTTGTTTGCGAAACAAAAGCAACAGTTTCATTTTACTGTAAAAACTTTATTAATAGGGAAGCTATTCTAAAACAATTTGGATGATTTTTGGTACTGATGTGATTTATTTTCCACTTTGTTGAATAAATGGTAATGGATAAATGACAAGACATATTTTTGTTAGTTAGTTTTCTAACGTAGTGTGTTGCTGTGTGAGAGATATTTACTAAATGAGGCTGACCGACTGCTCCACAGTCATATAGAAACAAAATATCTGCTTTGACCTTTTAGATGTGCCTAACCACTAAAAACTCTTTCCTTTGGCCGTGCTAATAAGCAAATATGACGTCATAGATCATCTGGTGGCCGTTATCCCACGCGTAAAGCTTTTTTTCCAGCGGGCAGTAAGAAAGCTGCGATGTGTGTGTGTGCGTGTTCGTGAACGCCAGGCTCGGCACGGTGTGCGTGAGTGTGTGCGTGTCGAAGGCGTACGTCACGTTGGCGTAGCGACGCTCCATGCTGTCCACTGCGTAGAGCACGCCGCACACCAGGAAGGTGTTGCCGTAGCGGCCGCGCCGGAGACCAGTGCGAAAGGTTCGTACCATGTGCAGGTCTCTGGGATGGAGGTGGACGAGCAGGATGACTTCCTGGTGGAAGCCCTCCGTGTCCAGAGCGGGGTAGAGCAGCCASAGGCCGGACTCATCCACGGCAAACTCCACCTGACAAATCAAATCATGAGGTGGAAAACAATTAAATCCTGTAACAAATTTGTTTTTATTTGTTCATTAAGACCTCAAAGTGGCAGCCTTTAGTATTTATAGATTAAAAAATGAAAACAGGTCTCTTTGCATGCAGAAGTTAAGAACCAGCCCTGCAATTTCTTTAGACGAATGAAGTATTTTTATTTTTTTTTATCATGTCAAGAAGCTTTTAACAGATTTAAGATCAAACTAACTCATCATCAAACACAGTTAGCAGTCATATTTAAACTAATGACATAAAATGGGTCTTTCTTACAGCCACAGAGGTGTTGAATCTAAATATATACAGTATGTGACCCATCACATCAAACTGAGGATTACATCAAATTTGATCAAAATAACATCAGCACATTTTCAGATTCCTACTTTTTAAGCTAAATTTTGCTACCTGGATTATTCTGATATGAACGGTTCCAGAGATTTGTCTTGATTTGTCTTCCTAATCAGGATAACTCATTGATATTTTGTCTGAATCCTATTTTTAGGTTATTCTAATAAGGAATTTTTTTGTAATTTTAAAGACGAAACCTCAAATAGTACCTGAATATTGAGATTTCCCAGCTATAAAAAATAAATTAAATAAAGATGTGCTAGCTTGCAGGGAAAAGTAGAAAAATGTAAGGCTTTGCTGCTCAAAATCACATTTTTTGTAGCTACTGCTCAAAAAAGGACTCAAAAAATGTTTAAGTTT